TTTATTACCAAATAATCCCCTTTTCATGTACCGTTTTGCAACTATTATAGAAATATAATAAAAAAAATATAAATGTATTCTTTATTTTGGATTAAATTGGTTGTTTACATATTAAAAAAAATAGTTGTTTACATGGTATTAAAGATTAGGTGGTCATAAATTCCATACTCATCGCCCATATTCAATTAAATGAATAATTAAATATTATGGAATTTTTTAATACCAAAAAATAGTGTTGATACATTATTCACCCTTTAAAATCAATAAACTCTTATGTGAGTGAATGTGTTGGACTATTATTGTATAAAAGGACCTGTTAGAAAAATTTAATATAAAATTATTAATGAGACATTCACTTGTTAACTTAAAGCTTAACCTAATAGGACATGATTCATTATTTACCCTTTAAGCCCAATAAACACTTGTGTGAAGTTATGTGTTAGAAAAATATAATATAAAATTATTAATATAACATTTAACCTAATTAGAATTTCACCAGTGAAACTAGGCTTAAGAAATGGATGACTTCTCCTTGATATTTCCATCTCTATTTAGCTGGTGAATAATGATTATGCAGGGGCTAGAATGCCCCTAGTATTTGGTCTACCTGTTGTAATCTATCTTTCTTTGGACCCCCCAAAATGTAACACACACACCCCCAACCCAAAAATAAAATAAAAATTCATCATCTGCATGAAGTATACATCTATTATAGTTTTGGTCATGTATGCGAAGAACTCCAACTCAACCGCTTGGACTTTGAATTTGTTTTGATTCTTTCTCTAATTGTCACAAGCAAACTCACATGTACTGTCTGTGATGTATGTCGCTTTAGTGTGTTTGGGTGAACGTTGACAAACTTGATTTGAATGATCTAAACTTCACAAAATTAACTTTTGTTAAAAATGTGTTAAAGTGAAGTAATTCATGTTTGGATATCTTTATCTGAAAAGTAATTTTTAGCGTAAGTAATGTTGTTTGGATAATTTTGATCAAATCATTTTAGATAGTCAATTGCCAAAATAGGTTAAAAGCACATATTCCTTTATCCGAATTTCTTTTCTATTTTATTTTATTATTTTGAAGGAAAAAAATTTAAAAATGAAATAAATAGTGTTACAGGAAATTTAGTAGTTTTTTTTTTTAAATTATTAAATTAAAAAAATATGGATACTATTTTTAATTGTGAAATAAAATGCATAGTGGGTAAAAAAAATGATATCAGGCAGAGATATGAGCAGTCGTGGAGGAGTGATGCAAAAGCTAGAAAAAGGGGTAAAGGGAGTCATTGATCATTGGGATGGTTTTATTTTGCTATAAAATAACGGCATATAAACGCAGAAGCCAATCCTCCATTGCAATTTTTGGGCTGGTTCTGCAGCCGAAGCCATGTAGTAGGCTCATCATCGCCCGTTTCAAAGAAACAAGGCACAACCAAATAGTGGTAGCTCAGTTGGCGCATGGGAGCTGAGCAGGTGGGAGTGAGGGCATGTGTTCGAACCTCCCCAGTACCATATTTGGGAAGAGTTTAAAGTCTTAATCCTGGACCCGCCCCGAATCGGACTAGTCACGAAGCGATGAACCGATGGAATATTTTCAAAAAAAGAAACAGGCCCAAAAATGAGAGAGAGCTTTCATCCTTTTTACTCTTTTTAGTAGTTTTTTTTTTGGATAAATTATATATATTCTTCACGAGAACGAGAGGTAATCATGTTCAGACGAATCCAGAATTAAGACTTTAAGGGTCTGTTTGGAGTACCTGATAAAGAAGATAAGATATGATAAGTTATTATATCCTACTTTTATCTCTTGTTTGGTGGGTCAATAAGATATGATTAACTTTTATCTCATTTTATCCTATCCAATACATGATTTCTTATCCTACGGGGAGAGCTGGGTTAGGATTCAACATGATAGGATACCAATATTGGATACCCAATATATTCCCAGGCTACCCAATATATTCCCAGGCTATCCAATATATTTGTATTTATTGCATTATATTTTGTTTTTTCTTTCTCCTTTTTCCTTCTACATAATTTTATCATATTGCTAATCGGGTGCTCATCAAACACAGGACATGATATGGGCTCATCAACCCCATATCATATCCTACACTTATCCTATCCTGTTCACCAAACGAGCCCTAAACTTCTCTCAAATATAGTAATGGGGAGAATGAAATATATGTTCTCACCTTCACCTATAGCTCTTATGCACCAACTGAACTATCATCATTTAGTTTTTTTTAGGCTTTATATGTTAGAAATATTAAGAGTCAATTATAATATTAAAAGAATTTTATTATAATTATAATATTAAGACTCTTGATATTACCCATTAAACGTTATATGACCCAATTAAGTACTGATGCATTTAATCTCAATCAATGATTTGGTATATGATGGATGTACCAGATTATAAGTTATGAAATATATATATTAGGGATGGTCTTCTCTCCCCTTCAACCCTAATGTGATTCTCTCCATAAGAATAAATATCAAAGTAAAGAAGGCTTAGAGAGAGCCCAACACAATTGCTCACAAGATGATGAATGCGGTTAATCCTTCGTCATTGTTTCCGGGTATGTCTTTATCTCTTATGTGTTTATGAAAATCATGTATTCCCAACATCAGTTATCATATTCTTATTTTATGATTTATAAATATGATATATTATGCAAACTAACATTATATATTCAATGTTAACCTCCTCCTTTTCATATGTTATAGTTTTGCTTCAAGGGATCAGCTTGTAATAGTGATTGTACAATTGCTTCAAGGTTCATTAACAACATGCCTGACCTATCCTCATAGCAATATTGTTTGCAGTTACATGTTTGTTTGTAAAAGGGACTAAAAGATCAGAAAGATAGATTTTTATGTCCTAACAGAATCAGATAAATCACGAAAAAGTATGCTTTTGTAGATTTGGCGGGGTCCGTAATAAAAATTAGTGGAAAACTAGGAATGAGCCATGTGAAAATAAACATGTGCTATCTGGTTTGCTTGCAGCTGTGAGAATATGGGACGGTAGGCTTTGATGACTAACAGACACATTAATTTACAAGTTAATTATTTAACTTGAAGATTTTGTCCTTTAATGCAATTGGGTTGCAATTTTATTCTTTAGATTTATCGTTATACTATTAAATATGAAAACACACGAATCTCTCCAAGATTTGAGATCATATAATGATTGAGACCGAGTAGATGCACCAGCAAGTGGGACAAACATGCCTTCCTATACTACGTTAATATAGAGCAAGTCTAATCTACTGCTCCATGTGCGGACAAACAATCAGCCATTGTTTATAATCAGATAATATACGTACGCCTGTTATATTATCCAGTCCAACCCACTCGTTTGGTTTTTGTTATAATAATATTTTTTTAAATGTATTACTTTGCCCTTGCCCTACCACTTCTGAATTCAGTTATATATACATGAAATTAATCTGCAGACCCATATATTGTTCAAGAAGGAATAACTATTGAATCTAATTAAATTCTAAAGAATACTCAAATTCGAGATAGCAATTTTTATTTTTAAATTGTTATACTTTCATAATAATATATTATGAATCTATGTATTTGATCCCAAAAGATCAATGTTACTGTAGGATCTGTAGTTGAGCCGTGTCTATGGAGGAAATGGCCGCCAATTATGACACATTATTGTGCATTGCGAGTAGACATAAAGTTAAATGTGATGTAGTGTGTGTACAGTGACAATAAAATCTATATCTATGAGATTTAATTTTATACTTATATATAATATGGGTGTTCATCAACCGATCCAAACCGCGGTAACCGAACCGAAAAACCGATAACCGAATAAACCGAAAACCGAAAAACCGAAAACCGATTAAAAACTGCAAATTTTAATTGGATTGGATCGGTTTTTGGATGGGTTGATGAAAATCGATCCAATCCAATATATTAATTTCCCTCTACCTACTTGGGTCTTTCTCTAATCATAGCCTAAAAATTTCTAAACTCAAGACTCATTAACCCATCAACTAAACTCAAAAAAAAATCTAGTCACATCTCATCAACAAAATTTTATCTTTGTAGAGCTTCATATCTCATTGCCAAAAATGAAAAAACTATATTATAGTTTACTATTGCTTTTGTATTTCAAAAAAAAAAAATTACAAAGCCAATAGATGTAAAAGATGTTATTTGCACAATAATCATGAAATAAATTTTAGGATTTTCAAAAAACCGAAAACCGATCCAATCCAAAACGAAAAAAATTGGATTGGATCGGATCGGATTTGAAAAAAAATCAAAACCGAATGGATGATTATTTGATCAAACCGAAGGAATTGAATCGGATGATTTTTACTTTCAAAACCGATCCAATCTAGACCGCGAACACCCCTAATATATAACAAGATTTTTACCTGCTGACGGATTAGGCCCAATTTATATGGCTGGAAGGCCCCATTATATGGGTCTACAACACTATGATTGTACATTTATCATAGGAATTAGTTAGTTTGCGTCTCTAATACCATTTGATGGATTTCTTATCAGAAGGATAAATTGGGTTTTGGGTACATATGGATGTGCTTCTAATTATTGGATCAGATCTATTTTTTGAAACAATTTAGTCTAATTAACCAGATATATATCTGTCGTTTAGCAATTGGCCAGACACATGAGTTGTGATCCTACGTGGGTGATCAAAACACAGTGCATGGGAATCGATTAATCAACCGCTAACACAGTGGGAATTGATTATAGTCTAGCATTATTTTACAGATTAGACTTCAAATCGTGGATAATTTTAGTAGGGCTGTAATTTGATTTATAAATTTGAACCAATTAATTGTATCAGTTTTGAGACTGACCAGTTATAAGAAGTTAAACCCCTTTTTAGATCAACCTATGTACAGAACAGAAAATGAAAATAAACGTATTTTGGGAAGGAAATTAAGGACTTAACAAACTTAAAAAGCTCAAACTCATTGCACACCCGAACTTACTGGAGTTGAATAATTGAGAATTCATTAACAGATAAAGAACTTTGATCCTCCCACAAACAGATTTACACAATATATATATTATTACAAACAATGGGGAAATAAATTCGGCAAAATGTTAATCCCTAACTGATCGAAAAGTACTACTAACTACATACAGCACAAGCCCACGCTTGAGTTAGAGCTTCAGGGATAAGTCAAGGTGCTTAATTTCTTCTTGGTCAGTCTTCAAACGAGTTTCACTAACAAGATTTCCGCTGATATCTTCATTGGCTGATGAATTGAGCATGGTAGTGTTTACCATTTGGAATTTACCAACAGTACTGCCTCGTGATGATAATTCTCTTTTGTGGAAAGTTTCCATGGCTAGCTTCCCTATTCGAGGTTGTTGATCAATAAGGGGTCTTGACCAACCATGATGTCCATAAGTGCTTCCAAATCCATTGGATGAAAAATGATGAGAAGGCTTCTGAACCATCGAATGAGCCTTAATTCCAAGTGGTCTATTACTACAAGCACCATGGAGGGGTAGAGACGCCATACTCGCATAGCGGTGAAGGTGATTATGAAGATAGGGAACCCCAAAGGCTGTTCCTAACCTCTGACCTCTTTTCGCTATTGACCTCTCTCTCTTGTGAGCATTTTGGTGTCCCCCAAGCGCTTGAGAACTGTAGAACTTTCTCTGGCAGAAGTTGCAAGAAAAGACTCGTGGCTCTGCTTCAGAACCAGAAGGGCTTTCTAATGAAGTCTTGGACAAATCCATGTCCGAAAAGTTGATGAGATTGTGCTGTTGACTGCACCCAATAGCAGATTCATCGCCAGGGACATTCAGATCCAATAAAGTATCTGTCTTTGTTTCCTTCTTTTCTTCTTCTTCTTCTTCTTCCTCTGCAGTTTGCAGTTTCTTTTCCCGTGGATTCTGCGATGGTGTACTTGGACTTGGAGGAGCCTCTCGAGAAGAGAGGATACTTAGGTTATCACGGTGGTGATAAGGCACGTGACTCAGTGTTTTCATTGCAGAGTAATTTCCTTGTTGATTCATGAGATCTACCTTTAAATGGAAAAAGAGAGGAGTATATGAAGGAGACACATGCTTTATTCTTATTATTTATATTATCATCTGTATATGGAATAAGGTTAAGTTTTTATTTTCTCAAAGGTCAAAACTGTAACAGTGGTATAGCTCTAGGAGGAGCTAGAAATGATGGGTTTATGTTTTGTACACTACTTTTGACTTTGATTGAAAGTCCAGTACTCGACCATGTGGCTGGTTGTATAGACAGAACAGTGACCAAGTTTACCAAGTTTCTTACTTAAATATCACGCGAACAGTATTATTTTCCAAACTGACACGAGGGCAAGTTCGTTATCCGGTGTAGCGAACTCGGTTGGTTGACATGTCACGTTTCTAGTGGACAACAAATTCACTACACGGAGTAGCGAACTTCATATATATATATATATATATATATATATATATATATATATATATATATATATATTTAAAAAACTTATACTTGTTATCCACTAAAAATGTGACACATCAGCAAACTGAGTTCGCTACACCAGGTAGCAAACTTGCCCCCGTGGCAGATTGGAAAATAACATTGTTCGCATGACATTTAGATAAAAAACTTGGTGAACAATAACATTTTGATCGATGTTCCAATGTAGACCGAGACTCCTTCATTGTATATTAATTTGTATAGTACTTTTCAATAGTCGACTACTTAGTTTTTGTTTTTGTTTGCATGAATTGAATGGTTTTGAGCCTTTGCCTTATCAACACCAACATGTTAAGTAAGCCCCTTGTCCATATATGTTATGTGATCGTGGCAAGGACCAGAAGAAGATTATTAAGTGATGCGATCACGCGCGGCTTCAAAGTAAGCTTAATCATATCATATAGGAGACAAAGCAAAACATTGTCATGTAGAACAATTACTCACCAAACAAACTTTCCTTTGTACTTGAAAGTCCATCAGTCAGTGCACCATGTCCCCAGTTGTTGTTAGACTGTCCCTTTGCAACTCTTTTAAGAAATTTTCCTTTTAAAAATGCCATGCTTTTTATGTGACATGGTAACAACGATAAATGATTTGAAGGAGAAGGGAAATAAATTGAAGGGAAGAAAAATTCTATGTGACGTGTGGCATATGGTAGAAGGGACAAATGGCCGACAATTAATTTAAAGGGGAAGCTGATGCAGTGGAGTCCCATTGTATGCCTTTGATAGTGGCATTCGTGTTAGTTAAGTAACATTGTTATTAATTATTGATTTAAGAGGATAAATTTGGCTTTTGCATATATAATTGAGGGAAAAAGTATTTTTCCACGGGTAAAGTTATTTCCTCCAACCTACTAAAAAAGAAGTTATTTCTTCCAACTTGAAAATAATATAATTTTAGGGTCGTGAAAAAAAATGCAGATTACAATATTAATTTTCTCAAAATATCGTGTATGTTTTTTAACTTCAAAATGATATTATTTTAAGATTATATAGGAAATAATCTTATCTCATGTGACAGATAAATACTAAACTCTATGTTTAATATTAATTATTTTGAATACAATCACAATTTATTTTTTGACAACTTCAATCATCAAAGTATTAACCCCACCTGAAAAGAGATTTAAATCATCTGTTTTATTTACATTTTTGTATCCTTTCAATTAAAAATGGTATCTTAGTAAAAACTTTATCTTCTTTAAATAATAATATTTTCTCTGATAATTGTAATTGAATAAGGGAAAAAAGGAAAAATAAACATATGATTTGATTTCGTTGGAAGCATCATAAGTGAGTTCTGGAATATATAGTAATTGTTCTCATTGGACAAACAACTATGATTCCATTTTTGTATATATCGTTAGCTATATATAATAAATGCATAGAACCAAATCTCTTTTAGAGATTTGTCTGTCTGTTGTCCAAACTATTCCACATCAGAAAGCATCCAAAAAAGAATGCCACAACGTTCCAATCCACCCTCGTCCTTTGAAAAAAAAAAAAAGTATCTTTCGGATCCATATCAAAGTCCTCGAAAGATGACCACTTTATGATGTCTACTTTACCATTCTCTTCTCTTTCTAGTTACCCACAAATTCAAATCAAATAATCGATGGCGTTTAAAGTGCTTTCTCTCTCGGCACTAACATATGCAGATGATGACAAAGTGTCATGACAAATCAAGACATGGCGTGGCCTTCATGGTCACGTACTCGAGTTATATAGATAACCCTAAGATCGTGTTCACAATTTGGCAATAATACCGGTGAGAGACCAAGGAAGTTTATCATCTTTTACTACTTTTCTTATAATTGTCATATAAAATCAAATCAAGGGATATCATTTGATATAAGATTTTCTCTCTCTTCAATGACTATCCCCGTTCTCTCTTACTTTTCTCTTTTTATTATATTTTACTGACCACTATTCAACGGTTATAAACAATATAGAAAAAGATGGTACAATACATTAACAGATAGTAAACTGTAAACCTACTTGATAAACTGTAAACCTACTTGATAACAATATTATTAAATTCGGCCCGTTTATTGACCCGATCTAGGTATTAAATTATTGGGTTATCGGTTCAATCTGTGAGTCACTGATTCAACCGCAACCGCATAACTCAGAAAGTATATGTAAATCTACAATTTATATTAAAAAAATTATAAATATAGTTAAATACTTGTAAAAAAAAAATACCGATTTCAAATATTTTAATATGAAAATAATAAATTACATATCATTGTCCAACTAAAGAACAATCAAACATATAATATTTGTGATACTATGTTTCAGGTTCAGTAAACGACATCTCTAACTATAAATCAAATCAAAATTTCCTGCATATTGCATAATCAAGATAATATTAGTGTTGTAGGTACATAATCTATGTAAGTTAATAAGCTACAAATCTCTCAAATATTTCAAAAGAAAACAAATATTTTGTTTGGGAGTAAAAAAAGAAGACATTAATTTATGAAAATAAATTAGTTTTTTTTATAGACCGGGCCGGGTCACCGGTTTTAACGAAAATCGGCCGGGTCACACCGGTTCTGTAACATGGCTGGTCCAATATGAAAACCGGACCGATTACATAACCGGTTCACCGATTTCCGGATCGACCTGGTCGGTCGGTCCGAATTTTATAACATTGCTTGATAGTATGTATAACTTTTCCAATAATATCACGTGCTTTATTTCTTTTTCTTTTTTCTTTTTGAATAAATCACAAGTGTCCTTTCATGTGAGGTAATTCTATTTGGAGCGGGCTTTAAATCCTTTCCAAATAATACTAAAGAGAAATCAGCATATACTTTTATCCCGTCGCACGTACACTCTGAGCTATCAGTTTTGCTTTATTTCTTTCAATATGGACCTTTTCTACCCTGATTTCTTCTCTCTCTCTTTTTCCTTACGTCGTCATCCCCAGTTCTCATTCACACACACATCCAAAACTCGTTTTCGAAGGGCCGAGTTTGGTTTATGCATGCAATTGCGCTATTTATGACCATATGGATGAATATCAAAGCAAGTTGATAAACAGATGAGTCGAGCATGCGGTCACACAGGGCATGTGGTGTAAAGGGAGAGAACCGAAAGTGCACTATAATGAACGACAACAGGATTCAAATTTGATGTCCTTTTATTTCTGTCTTCTTTTTTATCTTTAAATTCAATTGAAAAATTATAATATAAAAAAAATATCTCTTTTGAATGTAATATATTTTCTCTTAATTGTTAATTTTTTACTGTATATTTCATTATTAGATTAAATGAATAAAAACAGACAGTAGATAAATTACATAATGGAATCATCAAGTAAGAACTCTCTTAAAATTAGCTTGGTTTAGTCAGTTCTTCATCACCGAGGCTATTGTGTGTCTGTATGTGTGTGTTTGGTGATGTATGTGATAGAACTAAAACTTAGTCAACTCACAACTTTTTTTAAAGAAACATTATAAAAGTTTTTAAAAAAATGATAAAAGTTTTTTTTTTTGGTGGTAGGGGGAGGTGGGCGATGAGAAATAAACTAAAATTAATCGCATGGTAAACTATGCGTAATAAATTAATGTGTATATTATATAAACTAGTTAACCCACCTAGCACCTAATAATAACCAATCGAATATTGTACAAACATAAGTAGGATATTTTTACCAAATGATGGTATCTCATTTGGCGTCAGGAAATTGAGCAGATAAGGGTAAGAACATGTGTTCGATTCTCCTCAGTACCATCTTTGGGAGGGTTTTAAAGCCTTAATCCCGGGACTCATCCTGAAAAGCGATGAACCGATTAGAATATCTCCAAACAATAAGTAGAGGTCTTCATTGTTGAGAATAGTATGGGGGAGCCCGAAACACTTACAAAGGAAACCTCTATTAATGGGCCAAGCAATAAACCACAATAAATGAGTTGACACCATATCTAAACCTAAAACCGCTATAAGTTTATGGGTCTTTTGCACTTATATGATCATCACTAAGTTTATTTCTGTAAAGAACTAATTCAACCCAAAACTTAAGCGGTTAGGTGAAGGTTCATCAATAGTTTATATACTTCTCTAACACGCTCCCCTCACACGAAAGCCTACTGGGCTTGAAGGGTGGACAATGCACAAACCCACCTACTTGTGCTAAAAAATTCCAAAAGAGAAAGTGGGGGCAGTGAGGATTGAACCCGGGACATGAGACTTTGATAACATGTAAAGAACCAATTCAATCCAAAAGCCTAATGAGACTGTTTTGTTAAATTCTAAGTCTGTTGATACCCCTATGGGTCCAAGTTTCAAGCTTATACCAAATTAGGGGGAGCCCTTTCAAGATGCTGAGAGGTATAGAAGATTGGTTGAAAAACTGAAATATCTCACAGATACTCGGCCTGACATTTCATTTGCAGTTAGTGTGGCAAGTCAGTTTCTTAACACTCCATGTCAAGAACACTGGAATGTCGTCATTCGTATTCTTAATTATATCAAGGCATATCCAGGAAAAGACCTTGAATATGAAGATAAAGGTCATGTTAAAGTTGTTGGATACTCTGATGCTGATTGGGCTGATTGTCCTACTAATAGGAGATCTACTAATGGATATTGTGTCTTCATTGGAGGCAACTTGATTTTATGGAAAAGTAAGAAGCATAATGTAGTTGTCAAATCAAGTGCTAAAGCAGAATACCATTCCATGGCTACTACTACTTGGAGCTCATTTGGCTGAAGCAACTTCTTAGAGAGCTCAAGTTTGGAAACATTAGACTAGTAACTCTCATTTGTGATAACCAAGCAGCACTACACATTTTTTTCAAGCAGAATGTAATTGCCAGATCAAGTGCTAAAGCAGAATACCATTCCATGGCTACTACTACTTGGAGCTCATTTGGCTGAATCAACTTCTTAGAGAGCTTAAGTTTGAAAACATTAGACTAGTAACTCTCATTTGTGATAACCAAGTAGTACTACACATTTTTTTCAATCCAGTGTTTCATGAAAGAACCAAGCATATCGAAATAGATTGTCACTTTGTTCGAGAGAAGGTCCTTGCTGATGAAATTACAACTAGTTTTGTACCCTCTAATGATCAATTAACATATATATATATTTTTATACACACCCACATGTAAGTCTTTGAGGGGTCCTCAAATAAAGTTTATATGTAACAAACTTGGTGCTTACGATTTATACGCTCCAGCTTGAGAGAGAGTGTTGGAAAGAATATCTTTATTATTGGAAAGAATATATGTAAATATCCATTTCCTTATATTATTATGATTTAGTTTAAGTTTGAGCTAAGCTCATTAATGGTTTGTATACTTCTTTAACAATTTATAACTGATGTAGGATTTTCTTATCACTACTCACACTTGAATATTTTCAATATTTATATTATTGGATGGTTGGTTTTTTTTTTGGAGAATATTATTGGAGGGTTATTAGCGCATGAGGATTTATATTATTTTAGCTTAGTGAAGTTAGAATGTCAGAGGCAAGACTATATATTAGGAATCCAGTCCTTTTCTAACTTGTCTAATTAGGTAAAAAGAAAAAGACAATACGAAAAACAGAAAACATAAAGAAAAGAAACACCCCCTAAGTGTTCCGTTTATAAAGAAAGATCCAACCGTACTTAAAAGAGAAATAAGAAATTGAGATGCGATATGCCGAACCACGACCACTCAAGTAAAGTTTAAGGCAGAAATCAGTTGGTTGGTTACACTTTAATTTATCAATACACACAGTTTAAGAAATGTTATTCTTGGACCTTTGAAAAAGACTCTTCTTAAATCATCAAGTAAAAGTGTATTTATTTTTAATTTTATGAAATATATCGTGATTATATATAACTCACTAAATAATTCAAGAATAAACGTTCGTTTTAAGACAAATTTACTTTAAACAAATATTCATACATGCAAAAAAAAGAGGTGTTTGAAAATTTCGGAAAAATTAGATATTTAAATATAAGGAAGTTTATATATATATATATATATATATATATATATATATATATATATATATATATATATATATATGAGTTTAGTGTGTATCTTTTTAAAGGATATAAATGTATGTCTTTTTCTCTTCACAGCTATATCAAAGGATGGTAATTGAGTCAAATATAATTATAAGAACTATTCCTTAATGCAATAATCGGTATGTTAAGTTTTTAAAATTTAAAATTATTATATCAGAATTTTGAAAATTTTAATCGATTTAAATTTAAATTTAAATTAATTGCAAAATAACTTCAGCTCATGTACGTATTTTATTGTAAATAACTTCAAACTAATTTTGAGACTAACACTGGCCTTCTAGAAGAGTACTGTTAATTGTATCCAAAAAAGAAAAGAAAAAAAAGAGAGTACTGTTAATGGAGTTTGATTCTGCGAGAACCATGAACTGTTCAAATATGAATATTGAGATGCTTGAGTTTGTGGATGTGCAGTAAGAAGTCCTATATCAAAGTGTTCATGAGCACCATCAAATTTGATATAGTTATAATCACGCAGAGAACCACAAAATTTACACACCGTGGTTGAGAATTTACACGCATCCATCGAATATGAATATTGAGTATTGCATCCGCTCACCCGTTCATATCATTTCCACGAAATTTTTTGAAGTACTTTCACCATTGAGATTGGGCTTCTGGATTTAAGTATGGGCCTAAACAGTTTTTATGCCCCAAGATGTTGAGCTGTTGTCAAATGCCGAACAACTAAGTTTAACTAGGTTATATTCTACCGAATAAATAAAGTATAGAGGTGTTCTATGATAGAAATATTTTACCCTGGATCATGTATATGATTATAAAATACTTAAACAATATGAAATCAAAGTTGGGATTGTGTGTACCTTATTGGATCGTCACAAAGTCGAAAGATTGAAAGGACTACATGCCAGATCTTCCTCTCTATCACCTATTTCGATAAAGGCAGCCTCAGCGATGGGAGCATGATGGCTTATGGAGCTTAACTCCAATATTTATAGGCTAGAGAGGGGACCTAGCTAATAACCTAGAAAAGAGTCTGTGTCCACTGGGTCCACCCATCATGGAAAACCAGGGTCACACTAAAGCCTACACTGCTGCCCAACTAGGCCCAATAACAACAGATGCCAGAAGCCCAATTCAATGTGATCACAATGAGCTAGTTACAATAATAATATTGAAATATCCATTAACTCGATTAATTTTAAATACAAAACTAATTAATTAATATTGCCCATAAAATAAATTTCTAACATTCTCCCACTTGGGCTATATTAATTAATTTAATATTATTTTGAAAATCATTTTATTTCGAAAACGACTCTATCGGGTTAATAACTAAAAAATAATTTTACGTGGCCACAATTTTGAAAAACAATATTCCAATTTCAGCATCTCAACACAATTCAATCCAACATAATCTCCTCATAGGAATATGGCGATCAATATACCGAAAATATCATAGCATATGACCTTCCATACTCACATACAATGAGTATTATATCTTCATGAATCAAGGCCTAGTAGTGTAGTAAGAATTAGTGCCAAAATGTGATCAACAATGTGACACACTAATTCTTATCGGTCCTCAATGTAATTTCTCAACAACATGAAATTACATTAGTGCAATTTCCAAGCAACATGAAATTACACTCTGTAATGCAACTTCTGAACAACATGAAATTGCATTACCACAATTTCTAAACAACATGAAATTGCACTTCTTGATACGATTTCTCAACAATATAAAATCGCATCACTGCAATTTCTAAACAACATGAAATTGTTTTGCTTAAATAAGCCAGTATGTCACAGTACAACATGAGATCTCAAAATTTGTGACATCCAATCACCTTTAAGCTCACAACATGCTTAAAGATATTATTCCATACATATATTTCTTAGTCGACAGGAGAAATAATAATAATGATGATCATCATCAATTACGTAAATTCAAACAAATATCACAAAATAATTATCAGTTTGCATAGAAAAGAAACAAACTGAATATGACTCCCACTAACCAAAGGAATCAAAAAAATCTAAAATATTCAAAAGCAAGCATTGAGTATTACTCCCACTAATTAAGGGAATCAAAAGATTCTAAAGAACTCGTGTTCTATATACAAAAGAAGCTACTCTAAGGTCTTTCTTTTCAAAACTTTTAGATAAAATGCTATTGTCTTATTCAATAAATCAACATATTACTAGCAAATAAAATGTCATCTACATAAAGTACTAAGAAAATATATTTACTCCCACTTACTTTCATGTAGATGAATCAATTAATGAGCATACACTGGCTTCAGAGATCTGTCCCCTTTGGGCAGATAGATCACCTAGACCAATGCACCTCCAATAATTTTATTACAGTTAAGCTTCCAATTAAAACACACAATAACCCCCTTTGGGCAGGAAATTGCATGAAATAACTAGAAGCACTCCTCAATAATTTTTTTGTATGTAAATAGTTCAAGCGGAAGCATACAATCCAATAAACAAAATATTACAGCATGCAACACAGGTTGAGAGTACAAAATTATACAATAATATCAAATGAGAGCTAATTTTTCAATACATTTTGCACCAAAATATACCCAAAAATAAAATAAAATTCATAATTGATAGAATTTAACACAAGTTAATCTTTATCACCAAAAGTTATACACATAATGTAATAAATTAATCATGAGCAATAACAAAAATAATTAAATATCATAGACTCCCCTTTGGGCAGAGTATATAATATATAATTATTTTTCATCACATGAAGATTTAACAACGGAGAAAATTATATACAATTGTCTAAAATTTATCCCCTTTGGGCAGATAAATTTTATAAATTATATATCTCCTTAATTCGAACATAAATGCATCATATGTAATTTTCAAGAAATTTATCCCCTTTGGACAGATAAATAATTTTCAATTAGATATTCCCATCAATAATATTTATCTTCATGTAATTTATTATTATATATTAAAAATCCCCTTTGGGCAGATAATTAACATATAATAATTATTAAACAACAATAATATCTCGTGAACCAAACATGCTCAAACAACATGAAACACTTTTCCAATATGTGTTTCTAAAAATTATTGCATTTGATAATCCAAAAAAAATTCTCATTCAATATCAAACACAACTTTAAAATTGTGCACCGAGAGCAACTTAAGTAATAATACCACATGTATATTAACATTGAATGTATCGCGTAATATTATAATATTAGAAATATTTGATAGGAATAGATTAAAACTCTATCGTTTTCCTATCGTTACAATGTATTCAAATTCTAAGACAATTTTTGACATTACTTAAGTGATAGACGAACATGTGAACAGCTGCAAATAGGAAACATACATTCTTATAGATCTGTGCACAAATCAAGGCCACAAAGAAGATGAACTTAGCCCCCAAAATTAAGGTTTGATTCTAAATATAAAGTATGATGATATAGTAAACCCATAACTTACACTCATAACATCAACATCAATTACATCTTTATCTCAAATTAATTAGATCGGTGGTAGATGAACTCAAAAAAAAATCTTTTCCCATAAAAAATAAAAAATATCGTAACAATACTGAAGGCCAGCACAAAAATATCTTTTTAGATATATCAAAATCGTAACAATATTGGAGGCCTATGTGATATAAAGAATCTAAACAACAACAAAATTTAAATAGTAAAAGATGAAAACTGCAACCATATTTTGAATATCTT